AGGATTGTAAATACAGTTTATTATCTAACATTGAAAACGTTACCCGCTAGAGGCTCAAGGATAGGCTTTGTGTGTTAAAAAGTTGAACTTCAAAGTCTTATATCTTTTTTTTGGTACGGCTGAGCTTTTTGAGATTGAACAATATGATAGATTGCTTACTTAAAAATGTATATTCCAAATATGAATAAGATTGTAAATAGACTGAAAATCTCAATAACTACCTTAAGCCGCTGGTTCTGCATCCTCTTAAGGCATTACCTTCACGTCCCTGCGGGCGCGGGGGAGCGGAGATAATTCTATCTCACTCCAATCGAGGAAGTGGCAACGTCGCTCTTTCTCATACTAATCATAAAATCGCTCGTTTTCTGTGTTATTTTAATTATTATTAATAAACTGTACGATACAGGCGTCTGATTTTTCACACATATTTTCTTTATAGTTTAAAGAAGCTGAAGTAATATTTTTAGCCAAATCTAAAAATTTCAACTTTAGATATTTAAGAACGTTCTCCGACTACAGTGGTTAGCAACCTAAAATATCTCTTTTCATGAGTAAGTTTGTACTGCTGTAACAAAGTTAAGTTAAGCTATTCAGCACTGCTAAGACCCGCTTACTCTGCGCAGAAGTTCAAAAATAGCTGCAGTACACAGCGCACATAAATCCAGCAAAACAAAAAAAATAAAAAAAAAAAGCTACAGTTTAAAAAAAAGGGTTGCTTGCCATATTATTCAAAATCGTATTTTAATTAGGACACTCTCCACTACCACATACTTGTTTTTTAAAATAATTCTAAGAAAATTGTCGTCAGTAATTTAAAAAAACCCCACTTCACAAAGGCTCAGCATAGGAAATCCATGGTAAAAATTGAAATATAAATCTTCCATATTTTGGAATTTAACATTGCTACCCCTATTATCCAAACAGGCTTACGTATAAATAGATCAACTACGTATACCGCAAATCTAAAAAAATGAATAATTCGGAGAACGTCCTTAAGTAAATGCACGTGATTTCCTCATTCTCCCTATCACTTCCATGTTAAATCGTGCGAAATTTCGTTTTCGATTTTCTCAAAAAACTGTACGATACAAAAATCTGAAAAAAATTCATGAGTTCATAGATCAAGTTTTTAAACATTGTGTAAAAGTTTAAAGTACAAGTAAAAATTAGAAAACAATCGAGGGTAATACCTTAAGTAAATTGCGTTCACACAGCAAAGGAAACTGAAAATCGCAGTACCATTCGAAGCGAAGCACGGTAAATCATCAACGACCGGCTTATATCAAAACTCGAAGAAATCGACGACGATATATTACAAAATATATCGGAAATATTCCCGACCGATTCCGTCTGATCTATTTGGGCGACTAGCGACGATTGCTCGTTGCTTCGATCGGCGCTTTTGACCGGGTTTTCGACAAACATGTATCGGCATCCGTTCGCATGAATATTACGCACAAAACAGGTGACAAGTGCCGCTCCGCGCGGATATGAGAAACCAACAACTTTGCGGGGTGATTCTCAAGTATTATTTAATAATCTCATAAAAATTCTTAAAATTATCTTTTTTTATTTTAGAAGTAGGTAAAAACAATGAATTCATATTTTACAACGGAACGGCAACATATTCTTGCTGCTAATTTGACTGGAGGGTCTCGTAAAAGGACTCAAACTTTGCTCAAAAGGCACACAAAGATCAAAATATCAAGCTTGTCACAGAAATTTTCGCGAAATGCTTATTCTAAAAGAATGAAGACTCTCAAGTGGATCAACGGTAACGCTTTCCGCGGCGAGTGTAATTTATATAAAAAGATATTCCAGTTTTACATTACTGCGATATTTACTATCAGTTTGAGACTGTGTTATGATTATATTAACGCGGAACAAACTTGATTGAAAAAATATAAAATTCAATTACCTGTAAGAAAATAAAAATTCGGAATATTACAATATTATTTTTAGAATATTATTACTACATTTATATTCGATATATGTTTGCTGGCGGTGGACAGTTACGTGTGGGAAAGCCTGGCACAATGTCCCGCGAGTCTGCAGATATTTCTGAAAAGCGGCCAACTCTACCATGTTATGCTTGTCGAGATCGCGAGCTATTTTGTGAAGTGCCTGTATCTCATTGCGCTGACCTAATATGCGATCATACCTTTTGCGACTCGTTTCTCTGCACTTGGAGAGATGCCGATAAGAAGACGGAATTGATCCTTGCTCGCGATTATTTAGTGAGAGAAGGAAGACAAGCTTGACATCAAAAGACACGCCGACGGTTCCATAGCGGATACAATCTTGCAAAAATTAAAATAATTTTTTTTAATATTAATAATAGGGTAAGTCGGGGAGAAATGGACCACTTTTTTTAAGTCGAATTACGAATAAATCAGGGCAAATGAACCATCATTCATGTATGACTTACTACATTTATTGAACTTATGAGTAGTATAGTGAAATAGAGAATATTATACTTTTTTTAAAAATTGAAATATGAAAAATTATAACAATGGTCCATCTATCTCCACTCTCTTGGGTGAGTTGGATTACTGCATATAAAATAGATGGACCTCTACAAAAATACAATTTACATTTTTTTAACCAATTTTTAACAAAAACACATTATTACACTTAATTTTAGGAATACTTTATACATTGTGTAACAAATACGCACTGTTATTATTCTAGTTATTCTTCTAGTTACACTTTACAATTTTCTTCTACTCACATTTCTCCCTTTTAAATAACATCTTTAATTGTTCTTTGGCCTACTTGCTTCTTTCCGAAGCATATTTGCGGTTATATTTTGTTGGAATACTGAAAACGCCGATAAAACTAGTGGTCCATCTATCTCATTTTTAGGGATAGATTGATCACAGTGCAGTTGTTTACACAAGAAAGCATTTGACATCTTTGTATGTTAAAGTATTTGACAATGTTTACATAGGAAATCTTTAAAAATGTTTCAAATTGGTAGAATATGTCAAAAAACTTAAGAAAATATGTATATCTATTTGAACGTTTCACAAAACAAAAAATAGTAAAGTAGAATTTTTCACATCTACTTGAAATTAAAGATATAAAATACTCACCTGTTATGCAAATGCGATTCAAATAAATACTCTTCTGCTTGTAAGTACGCACTTACAATTAGAAATACACGCTGACATCTAACAAATAGTTTAGGAAATATGCATGTAGTCCGTATCTCATCCACATCCATTTTCCCCGACTTAAAATACAACAGAGAATAACTTCATTTTACATTAAAATCTAATGAGAAAATTGTGTTAAAGACAACAAATTGTAAATCTCTCATAAATTTGACGATCTGTACATGTACAAATGATATCTTTGTCAGGTTGTTTCTGGACATCAATCGATTGATTGCTCGCCTCCGGAAGACTTTGTGTTGCGAGTTACCCCCTGGTTTCACTTCTAGATTCATTTCACGAAGAAGCCTTTCCATGGCTCGACGCTTCCAGTGTTTCTCTTTTTGTTTCTCTTTTTTTGTGAACGTCAGCAGATGAGGTTTTTATATAAAATCTTAATATATAGACAATGCGCATCGTAAAATATACATGGAATCAAGGTTGGGTAAGTTAAATTTTTTTTTTATTTAAGTTAAGTTACAGTTAAAGGTCTTAAAAATTTTATTTAGTTAAGATATAAGTTAATCCATAATGAAATTAATTGATTAAAAGTTAAGTTAATAAAAAAAATAATTAACAAGTTAAAAGTTAAATTTTTTTCATGATTTTAGTGTTACAAATAATTACAAACATTTACAGTGTTTTAATCTTACATATAATGGAAAAAATAAATGTACACTTTATTTAGAAATATACTTTATATATTTTATTATAAATTATATTGCGTTGGATTTTACGACCATCGTTTATTGGCTCAATTCTCGAACACGTACGAATTTATTCGCATATAAAACGAATCATTCTGAGCTTTGTGATTGGTCGAATTTTTCGGCCT